TGTTGGGAGTCTTTGTGGTAAAGATTGGTTGGGTTTTTCTTTTCTTTCTTTTTTTTTTTTAAAACAGAAAATTCTAGCCAAGGAAATCCTTCTTGGCACTGGATCTGACATGGCTCACAGGTAGCCATGGCTGTACCAGGTTCCAGGGGGTAGTTTCTCAGAGTAGCTGCCAAGCTGGGGTCCTAGGCTCAGGAGCTTAAAGAACCACTGTGGTACCTGGGTCCCAAGGCATGGGTAAACTTTCCAGGGCACAGGCATATGCAGATCCCTCATAGATCATTTTTTATCATTCTTCATGTATTATGATTCAACCTAGAATGCTCTCTTAGCCATCTAAGTTTCTCTCCTCTTAGTTTTTTTCTTTACTTACATCAATCATAGCAAATAACATAAAAAATAGCTAGGGTTTCATGGTAACTCTAATTCAGTCACTTGATTCTGATCACCAACATGTTTTCTGGAGGGTGAAAAAGAGTTTTGTGAGCAGCAGGGAAATCAATGTTCTCACTTCACGAGAAACTCTGGCCTGCTCCTGCATAGCTGCATGGCACCAAGATTTCAGGAGAAGAACTTTTTGACTCCTACAAATGGGTCTTGACTTTCAGTAACAAGGGGTTAATTTAGACAGACATCAGAAACCAATTCAGGCCCCCAGTGAGCAAAAGAGAGCCAAGAAAGACTTAAGAACCAGCAGTTCCTTCTGCAGAATGCTGTTTCTGGTGTTCTACCAGTCTGTTTTTCTGTTGTGTTTTCTACTTTTTAATTTGCCCTTCTGCTCAAGCATCCTACAGTCAATATGAATGAAAGACTTTTTAAAATGTTTTCTTAAATAAACATTTTATAAGATAGTACATATGCCTTCTGCACCTTAAAGAGCTTTACAAATCTGTAGGCTTTGAGCATGCACACTAACAGCGGTAAAGAATGAACAGGCTCTTTGCCATTCTCCCCAGCACACACCTTTTCTGATACCCCTCAGCTTATACCTACAGCCACTATGGATGTGTGTAAAATAGAGCACAGAGCTTCTAAAATAGACTGTGCAAAGCAATGAGTACTGAGTAATGGTATTAGGAAAAGAAGGAGGAAGAGTATGAGTGTAACATTGCCCAGGTACATCTGTCGAAAATACATGTGTTTCATTTATGAACTGTGTCTTCTAGTGAACTGCCACTGCATGAATGCTGTTCCTTTTTAGTGTGTATATTTTCTATAGTCTAATGTTTGAAAGGGATTTAAAAAAACATATTATCAAAAAGGAAATAATATGCTACTTACTCAAGCATACCTCTAGACCAAAGGATGGAGCAAAACAACCCTTTTTTCCTCTGAAATTGCTTATTATGCTATTCTGATGTCACCTCAGCTCATTGTCAAGGATTCTCCTGTCTCTTTTTTTCCCCATCTCCATCCCTTTTATCTGACTATACTTTCATTCCTCTAGCCCCATTCCTAGGTACTGGATTCCAATCATGTTTTTCTATCTAGATTCCCCATCTTCTTCTCATAGAACTAGGGAGAGTGAGGGAAAGTGGGAGGGCTTTAAGTTCTTCAGTTACTTTAAAGTAAAATGTTTATTAGGTAAACACACTTCTACCTCTTGTAATATAAACTACTTCGTTCAACATAATGCCAGGGTATTATTATTGTATAGTCCCTTTTCTCTGCTCTGTCAAACATCTTCTTCTGTTGCTCTGGTTTGACATAGGCAAAGCTCAAGGAGAAGAATGACTCAGATCCTTTCCCCCACAAAGAAAGTGCAGAAGTGGGAGGAAAGCCCTTCCTATCTGATGTACTCTGAATTCCAGCGCAAGTGTTTCATTAAATCTCACCAAATAAGATAATTTTCACAATAGTTAGAAAGTTCAGGTTGCAAAGCCTTTCCTGTTTGTTAATGCTGAGAAGACATGTAATGTACTAGTTACACTAAACAGATTATTTGGTCAAGATGGTAGAAAAATGGAATTGGGGCAGTGACTGAAAGTGTCAATAGCCAATGACAGAAGCCATGGGCAACTCTGCTTTCTTGGGATTTTAGGCTTTGCTGCTGAGCAGTTTTCCTGCCTTTTACTGTGGACCACATTTGTAAATTCCTGTGCAGTACCAGAAACTCAATAGTCATTAACTTCTTAATCAGTAGACGATAATCTTTACAAATGTGAAGGCTGTTTGGAATTAAGGGCAGTTATACCAAATTAGGGAATATATCAACAAGCAAAAGTTGTATTAGAACAAACACTCTTGAAAATATTAGTTTCTAAATATCCTGTGTTTTTCCTAAGTCATAAAATTGTGCCATTTTCTTTTTCAGGAGACACATTCAGAAATAAATGTGTCTCTAAAGTAAATACCGCCTGTGAAGCTAGAAATACAAACCAAATCATCCTCTTTTTCCAGAGTCTCAAGGGGCTGAGGCAATATCAGTAATGGAGATGCTCAGATATGGGCAAGACGTACATTTAACAAGTCCTATGAAGGAAAGCTTGTTTGCTGTGTCACTATGCTCCTCAAAGTCAACTGGGATGATGGCAAAGGGCATCTGCCTTGCAATTCTGTATGTTAGTGCAGAAAAACATCTTCATTGGTCAGAATTACTCACTTGATTCAAGGAAGTTTTCAAAACATTTCTAAATATCGTAATTCACCATTATAGACACCGTGTTATTATAGAAAAGTATTAAGATATAACAAGAGGTCAAACTGTCCTGTGTTAAACATGTCATAACAACAGAGAAAATGTTGCAGTAACCTGACCTTTTTGTTTTCAAATGAAAATCAAATATAAGCTTTTTCTGTTACATTAGCAATCATGTAATTCTCTAAAGGTAGCTTTTACAACATGAGAGGATTCAACATTTTCTAGTATATACTATGAATATTCCTAAATTAAATCTTTTCTTTTTATGAATAGAATGACATTTAGTCTTTCTGAAAAGTGCTGCTTTGGGGACTAATGACTAGGATGGGCATGTATCGGTTGGCCAGTTTGTATAGAGAAAATATTCAATTTAGTATGCATTTCTTGGCTAAGTATTTTTGGCCACCTACTATGTGCTGAACAGAGTGGAGAGAAGAAATGAGTAAAGGACTCAGGGGATGTCTTTTATAGTGAGACAGCCAGGTGGGAAGGGGGTCCTCACAGAAACTCCAACCAGCCTGCGCACTGGGAGGAGTGTGCATTTGGATGGAGCCGCAGAAGGTCTACGCTGTTTGCAGTGGGGAGTAGTCTGGCCCCTCCTCTCCCTGGGTGAAAACTGGAATTCATGCTGTGAGGCAGGAAGCACACTAGCAGAACCCTGGCTCTGTGGAGAATCCCTGATTCCCTATTTTTGTTTTTGTTTTTCCTTTTCGCTCAATAAATCCCATTATTCTCACTCTTCAAATTGTCTACGAGTCTAATCTTTTGTGGTCGTGTGACAAGGACCCTGTCTTTAGCCAAATGAAGGGAAAGTCCCTCAGTAATAGGAATGTAATCTTGTTGGAAATAATAAATGGTCTGGTAGATATTGCAATGAAGAGAGGAGGTATGTTAAGGTAGACCCTGAATGTGGCAAGAAGATAAGGAGGCCATCCTGAATGATATATCAGAGGGCAAGAGAGCATGGCAGATGATAGGACACAGTGAAGAGCCTTGAAAAATGAGGTCCCCATGAGGAGGAGTCACATGATAAGAAGTTTTAATCCTAGAAACAGGGATTTTTCAATTGATCTTCATAGTAGGTTTTTCAATTGGTGAAATGAATCATGCCTCTTGGTAGCAGTAGCATGTAGAATAATAGACTCAAAGAAAGAGCATCTGCAAACATGAAAAGTTAGAGGAGGATATTCATAGTAATACACCCATTAAGTGATTAAGGTCTAGGGTAGAGTCCATGTAACCAGAAAGAAAAAATAAAACTGAGAACATGAGACAAGGACCGATTTGACAGGATTTGAAGAAAATAAAGTGCTGAAGATTAGGTCCCAGCACTGTGTCTGCCAGAGTTAATATTCAGTGGATGGTGTTGGAACGGGTGGCTAATAAGTAAATCTCAGGTTCTAAGTCTAGGTGACTAAAATATTGATAGACAAGAACATCATAAGCATCTTCAAATAGGCTCAACTGTCTCAGAAACTACACAAAATTGACACTGTGACTACTCAGGTCATTTCATTTAATTCAGTATATCCAGTTTTTAAAAAACCAAACTGGTATGCAGAAGAGCCAGCTAGGTTTTGAATATTTTCTTTTTTGTATAGTAGTTTTTGATGTCGTGGATACCCATATTAATAAATGCAAAAAGAGGAAACTTATTAGGGTTTGTGGAAAGTGCTAACCTTTCCTATATTTTCTTTAATTACAGAAAGATCGTTGGTTTATCTGACTATATGTCCAATTAGTAAATGTTTTTCATAGGTTCATTTGCTAATGCCAAAAATAAAAAGAACTTTTCAAAGAACATCATGCCATTTTTCTTAAACTCAATAAGCTGTTTCTGCCAGGGAAGTCCTGCTCAACTTTCACCAGCCTTCTGAATGGCTGTCATTCCCTTCTCCCCTCCTGATCCTGGCTTACAAACACTTTTTTATTGTTATTACCTTGGCTCAAAGTTTCCATAATAGCTTAAGCGTAAGGACATAGAAATTAGAGCAATGGTCACAACAGAACAACATTGCTGGAATGAAGGACTGGAAATGCTAGTTTATGAGAAACAAGCAGACACAATGAATTGTATTAAACCAGAAGTCACAGGTTATGACCTCATTCTTATAACTCTATGCTCTGTTTTATTTTTAAGTCTATAAACTTTCAATATTTCCTTGCAAGGGAGTGCTTTCATATGAAAGTCAAAACAAGCAATAGTTACAGGCTGGAAAAGATCACTAATAATTTAATACATTTTGACTAGTTCCAGGTTGGAGGTACCATATAGGTGTTTATTCCTGGTTCAATTGGTTTTTGGTGGTGACTATAATCTTAATTCTAATTAAAAACTGCACTAGAGAAGGATTTGAAAGCAATGAGGGTGCTGCCACCTGGAGGATTTTTTCTGCCCATTTGGAGTTTTACCTTTACCAAGCAAGGGCAGACTCGTGGTGGTATCATTTTATCCTATAAAGAAATTGAGCTCTCCGGTTTCGGATATCACAGAACATGGAGACAAGCAGTCTGGCAACTGATAGCACTTTACGTATTTCAGCCATATGTTTTAGCATCAGGTGCCACAGGCACTGGGGATGAGTGGGCTTTTGCACTCTCCTCACTGATAACTGGTTAGACTCTCATAAGCCTTTTACACAGTTCCACCTCCCATAAACAGTATAAAATGCCTAGAGAAAGAAAGAAAGTTTCTATTTCATAGAGGTTGAAATTGACATGAAATGAGTAAATAGCTTAAAATACAGACATAATTACAGAAAAATCATAATAAAACCTTAACCTCTCCAACGCTCTCAAATTCTATCAATTCTTTCAACATTAATTCTGTATGTTAGGACAACGGTGCTTTAAAAATCCTGCTCAGTACTATATTGAATAGGAGTGGTGAAAGAGGGCATCCTTGTCTAGTGCCGAATTTCAAAGGGAATGCTTCCAGTTTTTGCCCATTCAGTATGATATTGGCTGTTGGTTTGTCATAAACAGCTTTTATTACTTTGAGATATGTTCCATCAATACCGAGTTTATTGAGGGTTTTTAGCATAAAGGGCTGTTGAATTTTGTCAAATGCCTTCTCTGCGTCAATTGAGATAATCATGTGGTTTTTGTTTATGGTTCTGTTTATGTGGTGAATTACGTTTATAGACTTGCGTATGTTGAACCAGCCTTGCATCCCCGGGATGAATCCTACTTGATCATGATGGATAAGTTTCTTGATTTGCTGTTGCAATCGGCTTGCCAATATTTTATTGAAGATTTTCGCATCTATGTTCATCATGGATATTGGCCTGAAGTTTTCTTTTCTTGTTAGGTCTCTGCCGGGTTTTGGTATCAGGATGATATTGGTCTCATAGAATGATTTGGGAAGGATTCCTTCTTTTTGGATTATTTGGAATAGTTTCAGAAGGAATGGTACCAGCTCCTCTTTGTGTGTCTGGTAGAATTCGGCTGTGAACCCGTCTGGACCTGGGCTTTTTTTGTGTGGTAGGGTCTTAATTGCTGCCTCGACTTCTGCCCTTGTTATTGGTCTATTCATAGTTTCAGCTTCCTCCTGGTTTAGGCCAGAGCAATTAGGCAAGAAAAAGAAATAAAGAGTATTCAAATAGGAAAGGAGGAAGCCAAATTGTCTCTATTTGCAGACGACATGATAGTATACCTAGAAGACCCCATCGCCTCAGCCCAAAATTCCTGAAACTAATAAGCAACTTCAGCAAAGTCTCAGGATATAAAATCAATGTGCAAAAATCACAAGCCTTCCTCTACACCAATAACAGACTTAAAGAAAGCCAAATCAAGAACGAACTGCCATTCACAATTGCTACAAAAAGAATAAAATACCTTGGAATACAACTCACAAGGAACGTAAGGGACCTCTTCAAGGAAAACTACAAACCACTGCTCAACGAAGTCAGAGAGGACACAAACAGATGGAGAAACATTCCATGTTCATGGTTAGGAAGAATTAATATCGTGAAAATGGCTATACTGCCCAAAGTAATTTACAGAATCAATGCTATACCCATCAAGCTACCATTGACTTTCTTCACAGAACTGGAGAAAACCACCACGAACCTCATATGAAACCAAAAGAGAGCCCGCATAGCCAAGTCAATTCTAAGCAAAAAGAACACAGCGGGGGGCATCACACTACTGGATTTCAAACTATACTACAAGGCTACAGCAATCAAAACAGCGTGGTACTGGTACCAAAACAGAGATATAGACCAATGGAACAGAACAGAGGCAACAGAAGCAACACAACATATCTACAACCACACAATCTTTGATAAACCTGTCAAAAACAAGCAATGGGGAAAGGATTCCCTGTTCAACAAATGGTGTTGGGAAAACTGGCTAGCCACGTGCAGAAAGCAGAAACTGGACCCCTTCCTGACACCTTACACTAAAATTAACTCCAGATGGATTAAAGACTTAAACATAAGACCTGGCACCATAAAAACCCTAGAAGGAAATCTAGGCAAAACCATCCAGGACATAGGAGTAGGCAAGGACTTTATGAACAAAACACCAAAAGCATTGGCAACAAAAGCCAAAATAGACAAGTGAGACCTAATGAAACTCCACAGCTTCTGCACGGCAAAAGAAACAGTCAATAGAGTGAATTGGCAACCAACAGAATGGGAAAAAATTTTTGCAGTTTACCCATCTGACAAAGGGCTGATATCCGGAATTTACAAAGAACTCAAACAGATTTACAGGAAAAAAACAAACAAGCCCATTCAAAAGTGGGCAAAGGATATGAACAGACACTTTACGAAAGAAGACATATATGAGGCAAACAATCATATGAAAAAATGCTCGTCGTCACTGGTCATCAGAGAGAAGCAAATCAAAACCACATTGAGATACCATCTCATGCCAGTTAGAATGGCAATCATTAAAAAATCTGGAGACAACAGATGCTGGAGAGGATGTGGAGAAAAAGGAACACTTTTACACTGTTGGTGGGAGTGTAAATTAGTTCAACCACTGTGGAAGTCAGTGTGGCGATTCCTCAAGGCCTTAGAAATAGAAATTCCATTTGACCCAGCAATCCCATTACTGGGTATATATCCAAAAGGCTATAAGTCGTTCTACTATAAGGACACATGTACACGAATGTTCATTGCAGCACTGTTTACAATAGCAAAGACTTGGAATCAACCCAAATGCCCATTGATGATAGACTGGATTGGAAAAATGTGGCACATATACACCATGGAATATTATGCAGCAATCAGAAATGATGAGTTTGTGTCATTTGTAGGGACATGGATGAATCTGGAGAACGTCATCCTCAGCAAACTGACACAAGAACAGAAAACGAAACACCGCATATTCTCACTCATAGGTGGGTGATGAAAAATGAGAATGCATGGACACAGAGAGAAGAGTACTCAACACTGGGGTCTATTGGGGGGAAATGGGAAGGGCCAGTGGGAGGGGGAGGTGGGGAGGGATAGCCTGGGGAGAAATGCCAAATGTGGGTCAAGGGGAGAAAGAAAGCAAAACACACTGCCATGTGTGTACCTATGCAATTGTCCTGCATGTTCTGCACATGTACCCCCAAACCTAAAATGCAATAAAAAATTAAAAAAAAAAAATCCTGCTCAGAAAACAGAAGAGTTAGGAATGGATGGGATCCTATTCTTGAGTTTGTAATAAGGGGCACAATGGTTGCCAAATACATTATCATTTACAAGTGAAAAGACAAAGCAATGTATCAGCAAAGGTGTCCTTTATTGACTGTTCCCCTTTGCTAAAGCTTTAGTTCTTTGTACACTAGATGGATGTATTTTAAAAAAATAAACAGTAGACTGTTAATTTGGGGGATTCTTTGGCATTCCTTGGTTTTTAGAAACCCTTTCCGTTAATCCTTTAGTGCATTGTCCATGAATTCTTTAGCCTGATGTTCACCAAGGTGCCTGCTTCTGGCATGCGGAGAAAAAAAGAACTTGAACTTCTTTTGAACCTGAGGTCTCAGCACATATATGGGGCAGAAATGTTCCATTTCCCCATTAAAAAGCTTTCATTTGTAAGCCGCAGATGAAATTTCATCTGCTTTGCATCATTCTAGTTTATAATCCTAGAGAATTTGGCACCACAACCCTCAAACCAATTATTGGTATTTTCCCTTCTGAGGGGAAGTAATACATTAACAGTTTGGTTTTTGTTTATTTAGTTTTTGCTTTAAAAATGAAACACAGTGGTGCCCTCACATTTTTTATTTCTCATTCAAAGCTTTATTCTGGGCTGCTTTTAACTGAGCATCTATGGAATGACAGCCATATAGGGTTTCTTGTTTTGTTGTTGTTGTTGTTGTTTTTCCTTTTTGGGGTAGAGGGGGTTCTGGTCTTTATGTGCATTGCCAAGCAACCTGGAACTCGGTTGGCAGTTACAAAAGCTCTCTGGGATTGCTAAATTCACTTCCATCGGAAACACTGTTTTACATATAGGAAAATAAAATGATATCTTTTATGTTTTCCTCCAGAAAATGTAATCATGAAAAAATATGCTCTCTCTTGTTGCTGATTCTCATACTACAAAAATACTACCCAGTAGGCCCTTAACTGACCCATAGAATGTAGATAAACTTGATGGGTCCAAAACCATTTTGATTGGACAATGACAGCCATATGAAGAAGTCTATCAAGATCACTGCAAGGCACATCTATTCAATAATAAGCCTTTGATGACAGGAGCTGGTCTCTTGCATTTAGGAAATATTTATTGATTAAGGAAGAATGAGACAGAAAAAAGGAGAAAGGAAAGAGAGGTACTTGCTGGAAAGTGCTGAGAGCTACCAACAATTATCAGTGGCATTGCTAGAGTGCCCTGTGCCACTGTGGGAGCCCAGGCAGTGGATGCCTCTCATCAGCCCTTCACAGAGCAAGATTATTCAGAATCAATCATTTTCATTTCTATATGTGTAGAATGTAAAAATGATTGTGAAATGAATGCAGAATCAGCTGGAATAAACCCCAATCAGCTTTCACAGAAACTTCTTTGCCTTTTTTTGTCTTGGTTTATTTTTATTAAGCCAAGGACTTGTACCGTGGCCTTTCTGTTTTCTGATTCAACATTTATGTTGTGAGTACAGAGAAATGGTTTGGCCACAAAGTAGTTGGCTGAACTGAATATATTTTACCATAAAAAAGAGGGTAAATATTTGCCAAAAGTATAGTATAGACATTTTCCTATCAAATGACAGGAAAAGCAAATGTTCAGCTTATTCTGCAAAACCAGAAAAAAAAAAAGGGAAAAATGCAATCGTTGAGCTTCTTGGCAAGTTTAGTCCCAAGACATAATGAATATTGAGACTCATATTCCAAATTGTGTTATGCCCCAATATTAGATACTTTTTAAATATCTTAATAGTTAACTCAATGACCAAATAGTTATTCATTCTTTCTTCTTCATCTGAAAACAGAAATAAAATATGACATAGTGTAGCTGTCAATACAGACTGCTAGAATTCAGAGAATTTCAAGATAAACAGCTAACCATATGAATGTATATCAATCACTAACCTTAAAAAGCAATAATACAATAATGGTAACTATAAACAAAGTACCGTGTTAGATATTTTAGGTACATCATCTCATTTAGTCCTCCC